CGGGCTAATCAACCAGCTCGTTAACCAGCTCGTTGACGGGCTAATCAACCAGCTCGTTGACGGGCTAATCAACCAGCTCGTTGACGGGCTAATCAACCAGCTCGTTGACGGGCTAATCAACCAGCTCGTTGACCAGCTCGTTGACGGGCTAATCAACCAGTTCGTTAACCAGCCCGTTGACGGGCTAAATCAACCAGCTCATTGACGGGCTAAATCAACCAGCTCGTTGACGGGCTAAATCAACAAGCTCGTTAACGGGCTAATCAACCAGCTCGTTGACGGGCTATCAACCAGCTCGTTAACCAGCTCGTTGACGGGCTAATCAACCAGCTCGTTGACGGGCTAATCAACCAGCTCGTGAACAGGCTAATCAACCAGATCGTTGACAGGCTAATCAACCAGCTCGTTGACGGGCTAAATCAACCAGCTCGTTGACGGGCTAATCAACCAGCTCGTTAACATTAATGAGTTTTCTGGTGAGTCTGAGCTGCTGAACTCACTTTGTGTCGAACTCGATCAGGTTGGTGTCGATGGGGGGGTCAGACTCCGGCACAGCTGAAACACAAACATGTGGTGAGGAGCTGAGGTTTCCATGGAAACAGACTCCGCCTCCTGTGTGTGTGTGAGCTGCTCTCACCTGACTGGGGGCGGGACACCGGCTGCTCCACAGGTTTAGGATGCATCAGGATGAAGGGCAGCTCCACAGAAACGTCTCTGAAGAAAAAACAAGTGGTTTAATAGTTTGGATGGAGGTCAGAGGTCAAACACAGAGGTCAGAGGTCAAACACACAGCACAGCTGCTGGTCAGTAAACAGGTCATTAAATGTGATGACCTCTGACCTCTGTGTTTGACCTCCTTACAAACTGTAACCAGACTGAGCTCTGAACAAAGATGTAGCAGAGAAAAGACTGACTACAGGAAGTGATGTCAGCAGAGCAGGAAGTGTGTCTTACCCTCCACGAGAGACCACCAGCTTGACCTTGACTCTGTAGGACACCAGGATGCCCAGAACCTCCTTGTTGGTGACGTCCTTCACTCTGAAACACAGAAGACTGAGGTCAGCTGAGGTCAGGTGGTCCTGAGGTCAGCTGAGTCCTGAGGTCAGCTGAGGTCAGGTGGTCCTGAGGTCAGCTGAGGTCAGGTGGTCCTGAGGTCAGCTGAGGTCAGGTGGTCCTGAGGTCAGCTGAGGTCAGGTGGTCCTGAGGTCAGCTGGGGTCAG